TTCAGTCCATGTAGCGATCTCATTTTCCCACCCATCACACCCCGGGGAGGAAATCCACTACACAGTAATCTCGTGCAGGGGAAATTTACGTCCCCTACCCCTAACCCTGCAGGAGACGGGACCTACGGCTTTACGTCTTATCCGAGAAGACGAAGCAATGTGAGTGAAGCGTCTTGCTTAAGGACATAACGTCATGCCCTAGCCAGGACTTGAACCCGGCCAACCGACCCAGAGTCCAGCGCACTGAGATTAACTTGAGCTGACCTTAATGTTTACGAATAAGGTTAAAAAGTCAAATGAAAGAGAAGGCGAAAAGCATAATGTTTTCTGCTCAAAATGCTCTGAAATAATACGACAGTAACAGTTACAACTGGATGCTTGAAACCTCAGCTTGTAATTAAGATTACTTCTTGTTCGATTTGACGCTAACTGGAAAAAGTCTTGGAATTCGAGATTACTGAGAGAAAATATACATTTATAACATTCGATCAGAGAAAAATACAGTCTTCGATTCTTTAATTATTGGTGACCACTTTAAAATGGAGGAACGTTCCTCGTAGTCCATTTCGCCTCTCTTTTGGCCAAGAGCCAGTCTCGACGCTCTTCTCTGGACTTTTTCCAGCAAAACAATGTCTTTTACCAGAAAGGGACACCACACTGGAACCGCATATTCTAGTATCGGCCTTACTAAAGATTTGTATAGCAAAAAGAATTCACTTACGCTATTAGACCCAAGCACGCGCTTAATTACCCCAAGGACTTTGTTGGCTTTGTTGACCACCACGTGAATATGATCACTCCATGATAGATCGAACGATATTGTAATACCGAGATCTTTGATATTTTTCACACTCTTTAGAATTTCACCGTTTGGATCAAGTGTATAGCTCCCTTTCGACTTATCTTGTTTGTGCGTTATTCTCATTGTTTCACATTTATCGGGATTAAATTTCAACTGCCAGGTTTTACACCTTTCAGTGAGTCGAAACAAGTCCGATTGTAGCACATGCGTATCCTCAGGAATGTTCACTATCTCCCTATAGAGTTTAGTGTCGTCTATGTATAATTTCACAGCGGAAGAAACTCCAGTTGATATATCGTTGACGCACTTTATGAACAAGATGGGCCCTAAAATTGTTCCCTGAGGTACGCCTGATTTTACCTAAGTCCATGACGAATAGCTGCCGCGCAAAACAACACGTTGCGACCGACTAATTAAAAAGCTTTGAGAAGAGGGCCGTCAATACCGTGTCTTTCTAATTTATGAAGCAGACGTCTGTGTGGAACACTGTCAAACGCTTTGGAGAAGTCTAACAGAATTACATCCTTAGGATTTCTCTTGTTACAAGATTTTACCCAGTCGTTAAAACAGGATAACAGCTATGTAACCGTAGAGCGACCTTTCATGTGCGCAAATTGATTCGGGTTGAAAATATTGGCGTCACCCCAAAACTCCATAATACGGCGTTTTCCTATTTGTTCTGCTAGTTTACACACGATCGATGTTAATGAAATCTGATGGTAATTGTTTCTGCAGTTTTTACTGCCCTTTTTGAACAAAGGTGTTATATCGGCGCATTTCCACTTGCTAGGTAATTGGCCAACAGTGAAGGACTTATTGATTAATGAGCATATAGATGGAGATAGAGCCGATGCACATTCCCTCAAGATGCGCGGCGACAAACCGTCAGGCCCAGGGGACTTGTAAGCATTTAAATTCTTCAACAGCTTTTCAATCTCATTAACAGAACAATAGATATTAGAGAGCTTAGAGGTGACAACATAATCAAATTTGGGAACGTTATCACAATCTTCGGCTGTAAAACACCGACGAATAAAATTGATTCATACTTTGGGCAATAATGATAATAATAATAGTTTAATATTTGTACTGCGCAAATTTCATTCACATAGGATCAAATGCAGAGGTCGTCTGTCAGGGTTACTCCATCAACAAGAAGGGAGACCAAATTAATAGCCCCCTTACGCGCAGATTTAAAGAAACTCCAGAACGGTTTAGGGTTTTTGTTTACCTTTAACTCCTCGGCCAAGTTCTTAATATAACTCCGCCTGGCCGAATTGCACACTTTTTTGACGGAGTTATTTAAGTTCCAATATTTAATCCAGATCTGTTCCTTTCCTGACCTTTTGGCTTTCCTATACAGCAATCTCTTTTTGCGACAAAGACCAATGAAATCCTTGGTAATTCAGGGAGCGTTTACCTTTTTGCTAGACTTTTGCTTGGGGACACATTGGTCGACTGCAGCGAAAAATAAGTCCATCCATGCTTGCCAATTAAGATCTAAACAGTTGTCAAAGTTGACAACATCCCAAGGTGCCAGGAAAACAAAGATCTGAGATGATCCCAGTCGGCTCTTCTAAACGCGTAGTTTAGTTTCTGAGACTTGCATGGAAATAGACGTTGTCACGGAAAAAGTTATTCAATTATGGTCGGAGAAAGGTTCGCCGACTATTAAACCTTGTACAATATCTGTTGAAGTTGCTAGGACGAGGTCTAAGATATTCCGGTCCCTAGTTAGTTCGTCCACAAGTTGTGAAAGGAAATTATCCTGGATTACATCTAACAG